GGCAATCGCGCTCGTTGAAGTTGTCGGCGTGTGACAATCCCTGCAGATGCCATCTGGATCGGGGTTGTGTAACGCCGTTTCGCGTGGGTGGGGATGATGCGGAACCCACGGTCTGCCGTCGGGGTGCTTCCAATCCCTGCGGTGGATGTGCTCGAAGCGCAGTGGCACGAGATCAATCAACTCGTGCGAGTCGCCGCTGCAGTCGGGAATGTCGAAATCTAGGACATACACTCCATTTTCGGAGTGCGCTCGTCCGATCTGCCTGCGGGGAAATTTGCGCGATTCGTAGTGCAGCAGGATGTCTCGCGTCGCGGGATTCGTGCTGAGGTCGACGCCGCAGTCCATGAGCTGTGCGGCGGACAGGAGATTGAAGCGCAGATTCTGGACGATCAGCACATCGTTAAGCGTGATGTGCGTGCGGCTTCCACGTGCTTTAAGCACGACAATGCCTTGTGCGCTTGCGCGCAGGCGCGTGTTGTTCGCCACAGTGACGTAAGTGACTGTAGGGGTGGGGACGCTCGGAGCCCACCATATGCTGGCCGCAGCAGCAGTCTCCAGGTACCAGGTGTTGTAGCGCTTGTTGTCGTCACGTGCGAGCAGCGCCAATCGCGGTGTGACGATGTGCGGGGTGTCGATCTTCAGAAATTGCTCGTGCGAGAGCCAATCAAGTGGCGCCACCCGCATGTCTGGTATGTGCGGGGGACTTTCAAGCAGCGGGACTGGGAGGTTCCAGTCCTGGTCGTCGTCGTCGTTGAAGTCGCGGCGCGGGCTGAACGGGTTGTTGTTGGTGAACGCGCCGATGGGGTGCGGTGCTGGCTCAGGTGAGGGTGAGCGAACACGGCGACGACGTGACTCGCCTGTCATGGCCATGTTGCTCATGACGTTGCGCGTAGGGGCAGTTGATGGCTGCTGCTGCTGATGCTGAATGGTTGAGTTCAGATTGCGCGCGGGTGGGGGTTGATACCCTTGGGCTGGATGCACGTCGCCTCGTGCGTCTTGTCGGCTGGGCCAGTTGCTCGGATTGGTCTGGCGAGGGCGAGATCGGAACTTACATCGATCCGCCAAATGCCCGAAGTTTCTGCAGATTTTGCAGTAGAGGCGCCGTGGTCGTCGCTCTTCATTGTTGTCGGCGTAGAAGGCGAGCCGTTCGCGTTCTCGTCGTGGCGCTGGTCGCTGCTGATCCATATCCCGTTGTTCGACGAGAAGGGCGGCGCAAAGGGTGGCCTCCGAGATGACCCCCTGCTGTCGGAGGAGCGCCTTGCAGGGCCGCCACTCTGGGCCAAGCCCTTGAAGCACAATGTTCACGAAGATTTCCTCAGAAATCGAGCTTCCCAACTTCACGATTTGATCGCGAAGGCTCCGACAGCGGTTGATGTAGCTGTTGACCTTCTCCCCTGAGGTCATCTTAGTTTCCAGCAGTTGCTGGAGTAGTCGGCTCGAGGAGACGGAGTCCTTGGGCTGATACACGCCGTTCAGGTGGCGCCAAGCGTCGAGGGCTGGGGCAGCCGATGTCTTGTATGAACGAATGTTCAGCTGCTCCGCCGGCGACATGTTACACAGAAGAATCCCGTACGCCATCAGGGACTCGTTATAATAGCGAGTCCTAGCGTCGTCGGTGTCCTCAGCAGGTCCCGAGTAGCTCCCGTCGAAATAATGATAAATCTGCGCGTTTTGCAGCAGCAGCTCCAGCTCGAAGCTCCAAGTGTAAAAGTCTCTGCCGTCAAAGCACACACTTGTCTTTATTTTTTATATGCTCAAGAACCTTGATTGTGCGGAGAGAATTGCTTCATCGCTAGGACAGGGAGTCTTGGGGGTTGAAGCCTTGGGAGTCTTCGTATCTAGGGAGAAGCCTTGCGAGGTGGAGTTCTGGCCGTTTGACGCCGATTGAGTGGGTTGGGAAGAGGTTCCCGCGTCGCCATTCCGCAATGTTTGAAGTCCTTGCTCCAGGCTCGTGAGTCGCTGAAGCAGTTGTGCGAGGACGGCGGAAGGGATCGTCGTCGTTTCCTCGCTTGTTGCAGCCGGGTTGGGCTGCGCTTCAGCCGTCAGATTCGTCTGACCACCAGATCCTCCGGCCATTCTCACACGCGAGCGTGTACCGGACGCCACTTTCCGAATGTCGTAATTTTCGGGAGTGGCAGTGCGAAGGATTCCCGAGCCGCTCTCATACCATGCTGCGATCAAAAGTTGAACGTGGCCTAGGATCTACTCAGGAAGGTTCGCACGCAGAGAAGTGATGTTGGTGGGCCCTTGACCTCAAATAGGAGAGTGAATGTAAAATGCTTTGAGATGATTTTAAAACATGCAAATACAGCAAATATAAATATGAGTACAGGGGAGATGAAGCGACCTAGCTAGCCATGTACTCTAAGGGGTGACAAGAAACAAGGAATGAATGAACTATGAATGAATTGGGTACAAGTACTAACCCTAATTGGGTTGTACCCCTTATGGGCTACCCCACTATAGCCTACACAATATGCATGAGCTATAATGTTCTGACACACCCCCATAGGCAAAGTGGGGGAGAACAAGGGGTCACAAGACCAGGGTTTAGGGTTTAGGAAGAAGTCGTCGCACGCCACGGGGCGTGCAACAGACAGAGTAGCAGCGGAAGAAGGTGGGCCCACAGGCCAGGAGCGTTTCCGCTCTGAAACCATGTTGAGATAGTGAATAGTCTTAGGAGCCATAGCTAGGTAAGTCCTAGCTAGGCAAGAGGAAGTTTAGGCAAAGAGGGGATTTACTAGCAGCAATGAGGATACATATAGCAAACCCTAGTTGGGTTGTACCCGCTATAGAGCACCCCACTACAGGCTAGACAATAACATTCTGACACGGGCAACTGCTCAATATCGAGTCAGTTGTGTGTCCTTGCTGTCGCGCTGCATTTGTCAGGTCAAAGGTCGCTGACCTTTGACTTTCGCGTAACCTCTGACGGTTGTTTCAACCTCCGAGGGTTGACTCGCCGATGCTTCGATATGCTTTGCTTCGCTTCTGACTTGGTGTTTCGACACGACAGAGGCGTTTAGAATTAGTTGTTTCCAACAATGATTACCCCAGTGACAACCCACTTATTGTTGCCGACAGACTGGTACATCAGCCCATCATTCCACGTCAGCCTGCTTCGCGCCTACATCCCAACCACAAGTCAACTGCCTCGTCACCGCCCGCCATCCATGACTCGCCCTGCATCGGAGCTGATTATCGAGCCCGAAAAAATTCTGAGCCATCGGATTCGACACCCTACGAGAATCAGGAGGATTGAATTTCTCGTTCGCTGGAAGGACCGCATGCCCACTGAGGATAGCTGGGTGCCCCTTGCCAACATCGAAAACCACCCTGCCCTGCAAGTGTACCCGAGGAGCCGGGGTTTCCGCTATATACACGCACTCGCGTAGCGGAGGGGGCTTCTTGAGGGTTTAGGGTAGTGTAAGGAATTTTCTCGACATTCCTTAGCGCACCCTGCAACATCGCATACAGCAGCAGCCGTTGTTCGCCCGTTGCTGCTAACGGGGCTTCGCCGACTTCGCGCGCACTGTTTCACCAAACCTCGCACTGCTGGCCCGGCCGTGTCGGCCAACGCTTCGGGACTTGCCCGAGCCTCGCTGCCAGTGTAGCACTAGCTAGCTCGCACGCACCGCGTTACCGTTTGCATGTTTCGCGTATAAATGTTCGCTCATGCCTTCGCTCACATTTTGTACTCGTTTGACACCTTAGTGCAATCCTCGCTACCTCGATTCATTGCACTACGAAGCTACTCTCCGCGTCGTCCGCCTTTCTCGGCTGCCATTTCTTGCACTTCTTCCTGACCCTTCCTCCCATTCAGTCGTTTTATCTTCATACCTTCCCACAACACCACACTCCAATTTCTTTGCGCTCACACTATGGCTGCTGTACCCGTAGCGCGTTCCCCGCTTCCCTTTACCACACTATCGCCGCAGATCCTTCCCTCTCAAACTCCTCGTTCTCCCTCAGTAAGAGCATCGCCTGCATTTTCGTCTCCGCCACAGCAATTCTTTCCCCACCGCCGCTCGACCGTTTCTTGGCCCTGCGCTTCAGCCTCGCCGCCAGTCGTCGCCGCGTTGCCTTCTCTTAGCCAACGACATTTCACCCCGCGAGCAGCTTCTCAGCGTTCCTCGTTCTCGCCGCGCTTCGGCTCGTCGCTCCCGCGCGGCTGTCGCCACGGGCCATCCCGCGTGGACCGTGCGTCGCGAACTTCTCGTCGCCTATGCGATCCTGGCGATGTAGACGCTGCGATATTTCGTGGCGGGAGCCGTGAAACGCGACTGCAGCGGCGACATGGAACGACTTGCAGCGCGCAAAGCGACCCACACAGCGGCCAAGAGCCGTCCTCGTTATTGAGTTCCTCGCAGGAGGAGCATAAACCGCGGAAATCTCAACAGCTTCTGGCTACATTCTCGTCCTTATCGTCCCCCTCAGCTCCGTTAAAAGCGGCGGCCACGGCGGTAGCGACAGCGACGGTCATTTGGCTCGCGACTGCCCTCCGCTCCACTGGCGTGCTGCCACGTGTCTCACTCAGATCGCTTCTGCTCCCGCCTCCCGCCCACGCTGCTGTGATATCCGCAGCTGACCCCAAACCGAGTAGGCTAGCCTCAGTCGCGGTGGACACTAAGGATAGCAAGCCCGGTTCGGATGCCAGAGCTGCGCCGGAGGCTCGGGCCGAGGCCGGGGAGGTAGTACTGAGTAGATCAGTGCAGCAAAAAGAGCAAGTGACTCAAGAGCAGCAACAACAGCAGCAGGGCCAGTTGAAACAGCAGCAGGGCCAGTTGAAACAGCAGCAGGGCCAGTTGAAACAGCAGCAGGGCCAGTTGAAACAGCAGCAGGGCCAGTTGAAACAGCAGCAGCAGCAGCAGAAGGCACCTCAGAGGCGTCAGTATTACGAAGTGCAGGGCGGCAGACGGGGGGGAGTGGCGCCAGCGCGGTACACAGCGGTGGTGAGGTTTCCCAAGGCGTGCGGCATCCTCGTGGGCACGCCCGTGCGCATGCGAGGCATCGCCGTAGGCTCGGTGGTGGCGGTCCGGCCGAGCCTGACGAGCGTGGACGTGGTGGTGGAGATTCTCGACGAGGACATAGTGATTCCGCGCGGCATGCCTATATTCGTTAACCAGTCGGGGCTTATAGCGGAGACGCTTATAGACATGACCCCGCTGCTGCCCATTCCCGAGTATGACGCGGGTCCGAGGGATGCGGGGTGTAGGGAGGAGGGGGTGATAGTGTGTCATAGGGAGAGGGTGGAGGGGGAGATAGGGGTGAGTATGGATGAGATGGTGCGGCTGTATGTGAAGATGGGGCGCGATGCTGAGAGGGAGAAGGCGAAGAGAAGTGTGGGGGGTGGTCGGGTGGTGGTGAGGAGTAAGGTGTGATGGCAGGATATAAGATGGGTGGACTAAGGTTTTGAAAGTAAGATAGGGGTGAGTATGGATGAGATGGTGCGGCTGTATGTGAAGATGGGGCGCGATGCTGAGAGGGAGAAGGCGAAGAGGAGTGTGGGGGGTGGTCGGGTGGTGGTGAAGAGTAAGCTTTGAGGGTTGAAAGGAAGACAGAGGAAGGAAGCTGTGGGACAGAAGAGGAGAAAGCTATGGGACGAGAGGGTAGGCGGTAGGGGGACACGGGGATGGGACGGCGAGAATGTGCAGATTGAGTTTTGGTTTTCGTGAGAATGAGACGGAATGAGGCAAGAGGGCATGAAGGTGGCGCTGCTTGGGTAGTCGAGCAACTGAGGGAGCAATAAAGGCGTGATGTGACGACTGGCAGGGCGGCAGGCACACAGAAGGGGCTGAGATGGGCAACGGAGGTGGAGGGATGGCGTGGAGGAGAGGGAGAGTGGCCAAGGGCAAGGCGTGAGAGCAGATAGGAGAGGGTGTGGAGTGGTGCGCAGGTCAGTGGCTCTCCCTGAGGGTGTAACGGAGGGGTGGTGTGTAGGAGAGGGAGAGTGGTGAAGGGCAAGGCGTGGCAGAAGATAGGAGAGGTTGTGTGAGGTGGTAAGCAGGTCAGTGGCTCCCTGAGCACTAGGCTGTGGCGGCTGGATTGGGGGGCAATTGGTCGAGTAGGGAGAGGGTTGGCGCTTGACTCTTGTTTGGAAGCGAGGGCTGCTCAAGTGCTGCTATATGGCTCCAGCTGCTGCTGCACTCGTTTGTCATATAGGCTCTGCTCGCTTTGAAGCTCTTGAGCTGCTGCCGAAGGCCGTGCTCAGCGCTGTGGTGGCTACTGGAACCGCAGTGCGGACTTGCGGGGAGGCAGGCATGCAGATGCAGGCAGTTGCTGCTCCACATTCACACGTGCTCCGGGTTTTGTTTTCACCATGAAGCATCGCTTAGCCTTGAGGGGTTGACTTAGCCATTAGTTTGGATACTGGTCAGCTTTTGCTGGCATCAAGGTGCAATCCATCACTTTGGGGTGGATGGTGTAGATTTAGTGCGTTGGATCTTGTGGTGGCGATTTGCCAACACCCATGTACGCATACTAAAAGGCCTGTGTTGCCGCCCACGGTTCATCATTAGCTTTTCTATAGCTTGATCGAGCTGACACGGCGATACCCCTCTCTGCACAATGTATGCAGGGTATAATTGATGTCTGCAGGACAGCAACCAATGTTAGTGAATCGGAATGAGTCATTGCGAGAAGCACTTTTGCCTGTCACTCCGTACTACAACTCGTCGTGGTGAAACAACTTATCAAACGTATCGTCCTCCTCCTCACCATCCCCCTCCATCCCATCATACGCCATATCCTCCTCTGCCCCCTCCATCCCATCCTCCCCCATTTCCCCCTCCATCCCCCCGTCCCCTACCCCCCCCTCCATCTCCTCCATCTCCCCATCCTCACTCTCTTCCTCCTCCTGGTCGTCCAGAGGCGAGGGCTCCAGGTGGAATTCAGTGGAGGCGTGGTCCTTGATGGCTTGGATGAACTCCTTGAGGGTGCGCGCAGCCACCTTCACCTGTTGGTCATGGGAGACAGGCACATGAGGCGCGCACACACACACGGGAGAGCCATGAGAGGGCACACACACAGGAGAGAGATGAGAGGGCACACACACGGGAGAGCCATGAGAGGGCACACACACGGGAGAGCCATGAGAGGGCACACACACGGGAGAGCCATGAGAGGGCACACACACGGGAGAGCCATGAGAGGGCACACCGGCTTCATCAAGCTCAGTGGTGGCATGGTCGTTGATGGTTTGAATGAACTCGTTCAGCGTACCTGCAGCCACCTTCGCCTGTTGGTATTGCAGGTGCACACACAGCATGAGCCCACACAGCCACACACAAGTATGCACTGTTCAGAGACATGAACAGACACGACCGCACAACCTCTCTAGTCTCTTCCATGCTGTACAACACTTGCCATGTGTGCACATGCGCTCCACACATGCACTCCACACATGCACTCCACACATGCACTCCACACATGCACTCCACACAGGCAAGCAAAGGCGTTGCAATGGCAGTCTTTGAAAGCATGGTGGTGGCCGCTGTCCACCCCACAACATGGCATGATGGTGGCCGCTGTCCACCCCACAACATGGCATGATGGTGGCCGCTGTCCACCCCACAACATGGCATGATGGTGGCCGCTGTCCACCCCACAACATGGCATGATGGTGGCCGCTGTCCACCCCACAACATGGCATGATGGTGGCCGCTGTCCACCCCACAACATGGCATGAGGGTGGCCGCTGTCCACCCCACAACATGGCATGATGGTGGCCGCTGTCCACCCCACAACATGGCATGAGGGTGGCCGCTGTCCACCCCACAACATGGCATGATGGTGGCCGCTGTCCACCCCACAACATGGCATGATGGTGGCCGCTGTCCACCCCACAACATGGCATGATGGTGGCCGCTGTCCACCCCACAACATGGCATGATGGTGGCCGCTGTCCACCCCACAACATGGCATGATGGTGGCCGCTGTCCACCCCACAACATGGCATGATGGTGGCCGCTGTCCACCCCACAACATGGCATGATGGTGGCCGCTGTCCACCCCACAACATGGCATGATGGTGGCCACTGTCCACCCCACAACATGGCATGATGGTGGCCGCTGTCCACCCCACAACATGGCAGCCTGTGATTCAAGCAGCACAGCAGGCAGCACGGGCAGGCAAAGGCCATGTGGGGCTGGTTTCACCGGGTCTGTCTTTTTGCCCGCGGGGTAGAAGACGATGGTGGGGAATCCCTTCCCTTGCACCCCCTCCCTCTTCTTATTCTTGCGAATGAACAAAAGTCCCACCAGAGCTCTTCTAGCCCGCTACCCTTCCCCCCAACTATGGAGGGCTGGTCTCACCGGGTCTGTCTTTTTCCCCGCGGGGTAGAAGACGATGGTGGGGAATCCCTCCACCTGCAGAACGACCCACAGCGAGTGGGAGAGCGAGGCAGAGGGACAGAGAGGCAGAGGGACAGAGAGGCAGAGGGACAGAGAGGCAGAGGGACAGAGAGGCAGAGGGACAGAGAGGCAGAGGGACAGAGAGGCAGAGGGACAGAGAGGCAGAGGGACACAGAAGAAGAGAGGCACAGAAACAGAGGCGTGGAGGTCACGAGCAGGTTCTATTGGGTTCTATCGGGTTCTATCAGGTTCGTACTGACACTGAAAAAGGCTCTAGGACACAACTATAGGAAAGGAAAGAAACCACTTGGGTGAGCAAGGGATGGGACAAGAGAAGTCGAGTGGAGGGCATGAGGATGGGGGAAGTAGGGGGGAGTACGAGAGGAGGGGAGGGAGCATGAGAGGAGGGGAAGGAGCATGAGAGGAGGGAAGGAGCATGAGAGGAGGGGAAGGAGCACGAGAGGAGGGGAGGGAACACGAGAGGAAGGAAGGGAGAAGAAGAGGAGGGGAGGGGGCAGGGGAGGAGGGGAGGGAGCAGAAAAGGAGGGGAGGGAGCACGAGAGGAAGGGAGGGAGGAGGGGAGCGAGGAGGGAAGGGAGGAGGGGAGGGAGCAGAGGAGGAGAGGAGGGAGCACCACAGGAAGGGAGGGAGGAGGGGAGGAGGGAGGGAGGAGGGGAGGGAGGAGGGAGGGAGGAGGGGAGGGAGGAGGGGAGGGAGGAGGGGAGGGAGGAGGGGAGGGAGGAGGGGAGGGAGGAGGGGAGGGAGGAGGGGAGGGCGTGCCTCTAGGCCGGGGTACTCGTTAGCAGTGCCATCCATCTTGGCAATAACCACTGACTGCACCGCACTGAACCGCTCTGCCAGCCTCTTGTACGTGGGCTCGAGCTGCTGGCAGTGGCCGCACCAGGGAGCATACACCTGGCGGATTTGGAGAGAGGGTCGAGTGGGACAAGCGGGACAGATGGGGGGAGAGGGGCGAGTGTGGGAAGAGTGGCGAGTGGGGAGAGAGGGGTAAGTGGGGAAAGAGGGGTGAGTGGGGAGAGAGGGGTGAGTGGGGAAAGAGGGGTGAGTGGGGAAAGAGGGGTGAGTGGGGGGAAAGAGGGGCAATTGGAGTGAGTGGGGTGAGCTGGGCGATTAAGACAAGCGGGACGAGTAGGGGAAGAGGAGGGAGAGGGGGGAGAGGGGCGAGTGAGGAGGGGGGGCGAATGAGGCAGGAAGGACGAATGAGAGGGGAGGGGCGAGCGGGGAGAGGGGCAAGTGTGGGGGAGGGGCGAGTGGGGAGAGAGGGGCGAGTGAGGGGGGAGGGACGAGACGGAATATGATGTAAGGAGGGGAGTCGAAGAGAGGGGGACAAGAGTGGGAAAAGAGTGGGAAAAGAGTGGGACGCGGCACAGCAGGAAAGACAGAAACGGTGGGACAGGTGAGGAAGGTGTGGGGTGTGGAGTTACACGTGCAGAGCCATGCAACAGTTGCTCGAAATCTGCAGACAGCTAAAGAGTGTTCAATGCTCATGACTGTTTAGAATTCTCAAGACACTTTTGAGAATTCTCAAGAGGGGCGAGGAGCTAAAGAGTGCTCAGTCATCATAATTAAACACTACTTCAGGATATCGAGTACAAAATCCGTGCATGCCCCTCTCACCCCACTCCTCTCTAACCGCCCCTCTCACCCACCATGCCCCGCCCAAATGCACCTCCAGCAGCACGTCTCTGGTATCGTCCAGCACAATGAGCTCAAACGAGTCCCCCACCACCACCATTACTGCTTCCTCCTTATTCCGGTGATCCCATTCAATGTCCACATACTCTCAACACCCTCTCACCCTACCCCTCTCACCCTACCCCTCTCACCCTACCCCTCTCACCCTACCCCTCTCACCCTACCCCTCTCACCCTACCCCTCTCACCCTACCCCTCTCACCCTACCCCTCTCACCCTACCCCTCTCACCCTACCCCTCTCACCCTACCCCTCTCACCCTACCCCTCTCACCCTACCCCTCTCACCCTACCCCTCTCACCCTACCCCTCTCACCCTACCCCTCTCACCCTACCCCTCTCACCCTACCCCTCCCCTCTCACCCTACCCCTCTCACCCTACCCCTCTCACCCTACCCCTCTCACCCTACCCCTCTCACCCTACCCCTCTCACCCTACCCCTCTCACCCTACCCCTCTCACCCTACCCCTCTCACCCTACCCCTCTCACCCTACCCCTCTCACCCTACCCCTCGCCCGCACCCCCACACCCACTCTCCTCACGCGCACCTCCAGCAGCACGTCTCTGGTGTCGTCCAGCACAATGCGCTCAAACGAGTCCCCCACCACCACCGCCACTGGCCCCTCATTCTGCCACCGCGGTGCATGAGGAGTGGTAGGGTAGGGGGCAGGTGTGGGATGGAGGGGGGATGGCGGGTGAGGAGTGGAAAAGGAGAGGTGAGTAAGCAGCCAGCACCCCCCCGCCAGCATCCCCCCGCCATAGAGAGGGCAGAAATGGAGACCTCGCATTCGTAAAAAAGACCCATTGAGAAAGAACGGCTCTTACTGCCAGCCTCTCTCATAACAACTAGGGGAGGGAAGGTGCTGACCTCGTCTGGGACGGGCTGTGACTTGAAGAAGGGCTTGAGACGGCCGTCAATGAAGCTTTGTGTGAAGGCCTGCCAGGAGGGGAGCGAGCAGGGAGAAGAGAACGAGAGAGAAAGGGAGAGGAGAGGGAATGAGGAGAAAGTCCCATGCGACGAGGGAGAAGGACCAGATCGGATACCACGAGGGGCATGGGACTGCCTTGTCGAGGATTGAGACATGAACGAACCCAAACACAACGGCAGCAGCAGCACGATTTGCAGAGGCAGGAGCAGATGCAATCGCACTGACCTTGATGTTATCTGCTGTGGGGTGGTCTGTCATGCGGTATTTGAGCCCTGCTGCTGGCACAGAGGGGTCCTCACCGCCTCCCATGGTGAACCCCATGATCTGAACACACACACACATACACACATACATAGGGCAGGCATGCACACCACACGGGCAGGCATGCACACACACCACATGGGCAGGCATGCACACACACCACACGGGCAGGCATGCACACACACACACACGGGCAGGCATGCACACACACACACATGGGCAGGCATGCACACACACACACACACGGGCAGGCATGCACACATAAGGCAAGTGATGTGAGCATGTGGGATGGAAGCAAGTGACACATGACAGCACATGACAGCACATGACAGCACATGACAGCACATGACAGCACATGACAGCACATGACAGCACATGACAGCACATGACAGCACATGACAGCACATGACAGCACATGACAGCACATGACAGCACATGACAGCACATGACAGCACATGACAGCACATGACAGCACATGACAGCACATGACAGCACATGACAGCACATGACAGCACATGACAGCACATGACAGCACATGACAGCACATGACAGCACATGACAGCACATGACAGCACATGGAGCTCATTGCGGCATGCAGCAGCACCGAGGGCAGCGCAGCAGCCATGCACTCACGGCAGTGGTGGAGGCGTCTGCTCCAAAGTACTCTTTCACGGTAAGAGCAGCACAGAGAGAGCAGCGCAGAGAGAACAGCACAGAGAGAGCAGCACAGAGAGAGCAGCACAGAGAGAGCAGGGAGAGAGAACAGCACAGAGAGAACAGCACAGCATTCATGCGCTCACCACAGTGGAGGGGGGTGTATTCAAAGCACTCACGGCAGTGGTGGAGGCGTCTGCTCCAAAGTACTCTTGCACGGGTTGTGACTCGGGGTCAGAGGCGTTCACAAACACAAACATGACCTGTGGCACAGGGAAAAAGCCAAAAGGGGGATGGAGGACGGACAGCAAAGCTATGAGCATGCGCTAGGGAGGGATGACTTTTGAGTCGACTCAAGAGTCATCTCTGGCTGTGACTCGGGGTCAGAGGCGTTCACAAACACAAACATGACCTGTGGCACAGGGAAAAAAGGGGTGGGTGGAATGAGAGCAAGGCGGCGAGACGGGAAGGTGGGACGGAATGGACTGATGGGCGATAGCATGGCAGTCGTGGCGGAGGAAATGCGTGCTCATGCATGCAATGCGAGCATCACGAGAGACAGTCAACAGGAACGACATGTTGCAGCTTTTGATGACAATGGCCAGGTGGGCTGCGGAGGCCTTACTTCCCCAGTTGCTTTAGAAGGAAAGCACGTTTCAGATGGAAAAGTGAGCCTGGTTAGGTGAGTGCTTCTGCGTTTTAACTAGCCAGTGCGTATGCAGTCTCTGTAAATCATAATCATGATCAGAATCAGAATCAGAATCAGAGATTGCGTAAACTAGGTTTAGGGTTTAGCAGTAAGTACATGTCTGTGAAATGTAGAGGGAAATGTGAGCTCATGCAAGCATCCAGAGCGAAAGTCAACAAGGAACGTCATGCTGCAGCGGGTGTTTACTTGCTGCCAACTGATGTCCTTTCTCTTGGGACGCATGAGGGTGGGAGGCACGAGGGTGCGAGGACTGCAAGCAAGAGCTCCTGGCATGGACGAAAGAGGCACAGCACGCACCTGGCATGGACGAAAGAGGCACAGCACGCACCTGGCATGGACGAAAGAGGCACAGCACGCACCTGGCATGGACGAAAGAGGCACAGCACGCACCTGGCATGGACGAAAGAGGCACAGCACGCACCTGGCATGGACGAAAGAGGCACAGCACGCACCTGGCCTTTGAAGTGCTTGGCTGCTGCAAGGAGTGCGGGCGAGAGCTCCTTGAATGCACTGTCTGTTGCGAACAGCAGCACCTGACGGGGAGGGGAGGAGAGGACGCATTTAAGAGGACACCCGCCCCACAACCGCCCCCCCCCCTCACTCATCTCCCCCTCCCCTCACTCATCTCCCCTTCCCCTCACACACTCATCTCCCCATTCCCTCACTCACTCATCCCTATCTCCCCTCACTCGCATCCCCCTCCCCTCACTCATCCCCCCTTCCAAACCAAATCGCCCCTTCCTCTCCTCTCCTCCTTCGATGCTTTGTCACTCCACGCCTCGCCACCTCCCTTTGACACACCCTTTCTGTAGTGCCCCCTCTGACACCATTGAAAAGCGTACAACAGAAAATGTTGGCTTTCTGTTGGCTACCTTACCAGACTTAACAAACAATCACCGAATACGGTACGAAACCCTGCTTATGATAAGGCCTTCTGCACGTCTCTGACACCTCGTGCCATGCACCCACCTCGTGCCATGCACCCACCTCGTCTCATGCCCTGCCTCACATCGTTCCTGCATTAACTCATGCACCCATCTCGTCCCCCCTGTGTGCAATCCACCCCACCTCACTCCATGCACCCACTTCACCCCATCCCATGTATGCAATGCACTCACCTCACCCCATGCACCCACCTCATCTCATGCCACGCACTCACGTCACCTCACCCCATGCAACCGTCTCACCTGCCTGCCAATCTGGCTTGAGAAGATGGCAGCGGAGACCTTCTCTGTGTATGTCAGCAGCAGCGGCAGCCACCCCACCCCACCCCACCCACCCCACCCCACCCCACCTCACCCCATGCACTCATCCCACCCCACCTCACCCCACCTTATGCACTCACCTCACCCCATTCACCCACCTCACCCCATTCACCCACCTCACCCCATTCACCCACCTCACCCCATTCACCCACCTCACCCCATTCACCCCTCTCACCTGCTTGCCGATGGGGGAGGAGAAGATGGCAGTGGAGGTCTCCTCTGTGTACGTAAGCAGCAGCGGCAGCCGGTTGGCCGCCAGGAACGCACTGATGGCGTCCTTGCTGTACTCGCCGCCTGTGCATGGGGATGGGGGTGTGTGTGTGGCGGGGATGGGAGAGTGGGGAGCGAGGGAAGTGACTGTAGAATTGACTTAAAAGCCAGGAACGCGCTGATGACCTCCTTGCTTGTTTTCCTCACCATCTTGAGGGGGAGGGGTAGGTAGAGGAGGGAAGAGGGGGAGAGATGGGGGAGGGGTGGGGAGAGGGGGGGGGGAAGGTGGGAAGAGGTGGGAGAGGTGGGGTGGGGAGAGCTTTGGAAAGAGGGGGGAAAGGTGGGAAGAGGTGGGGAGAGGTAGGCAGAGGTGGGGAGAGGTGCTACGAGAGTCTGGGACCTCCTTGCGGCACTCGCTGTTTAATGGAGCGAGGAGTGTGTGTGTGTGTGAGAGTGGGTGTATGTGTGGGCAGGGCACGTGTGTGATGCGCGTGTGCAAGCATGTGCATGCGCGTATGCATGTGTGTGTGTGTGTCTGCGTGTGCGTGTGTTTGTGTGTGTGTGTGTGTTTGTGTGTGTGTGTGTGGGTGTGTGTGTGTGTGTGACTGTGCGTGTGTGCGTGTGTGTGAGTGTGAGTGTGAGTGTGAGTGTGTGTTTTGTGTGTGTGCGTGTGTGTGTAAGGTGGGTAGGGTAGGGTAGGGGAAGGGTGTTGAACATCAGTCATTCTACTACGTCACCACTGACAGACCCACAAATCCCCATCCCACCAACCCAGGCCCAAATCCAGCCCGTACGATTGTTGAGAATTCTCAAATCCAGCCCCTCAGCTCAGCTCAGACCTCACAATGCCACCAAGCACCTGCATGCAGCGAGGTGCACTCACCAAACACCACCAGCCTCTCCTGTGTGTGGAGTAAGGGGCGAGGCACGGCTGTGGACCCTGCTGTGGACCCTGCTGTGGACCCTGCTGTGGACCCTGCTGTGTGCAAAGCACCCGCATGCAGCAAGGTGCATTGTGCACTCACCGAACACCACCAGCCGCTCCTCTTCCTTCTTCACCACAGCCAGGGCGGGCGGCTCGCCAGCTGGCAGGCCGAAGGCGGCTGCCACGTCAGCGTGCGTGGTGACGAAAAAGTCCACCCCGTCCGTGTCCCTCGCTGCCTCGCCGAACGCTGCTGCCTCCCCGCCCTGGTGGGAGAGAAAGCGGGAGGAGGTGAGGGGAGGAGGAAGGGAGGGGAGGGATGAGGGGAGGGGAGAGGGATGAGGGGAGGGAAAGGGAAGGAAGGGAAGGGAGGGGGAGGGGAGAGGAGGGGAGGGGAGGAGGGGGATGAGAGGAGTTACGAGAGAAGGGTGGAGGATAGCGGATGGAGAAGGGATCAGGGAGGTAGGAAGAGGGAGAAAAGAAGGGAGGGTGGGAAGAAAGGAGGGAGGGCAGAAGGGAGGGAGGGAGGGAGGGAGGGAGGGAGGGAGGGAGGGAGGGAGGGAAGGAGGGAGGGAGGGAGGGAGGGGGGGAGGGAGGGAGGGAGGGAGGGAGGAAATGTGGCATCGCACTTGACAATACATTCACAAATTCCCGACCATGTTTCTCTGAATCTGCCTGCCTGTCCGCCACTCCCCCTCTTCCTCTCTCCGCCCCCACCTCTCTCCCCTCTCAAGCAGTCCTTCATTGATCATTATAAAGGTAAAGGCAGGGCAGACAGTATGTCGCGGGCATGCTAAGCAATGCAAGCAGGGTGGGGCCACACTCCACCCCTCTCCCTCTTCCCCCTCCACCCTTGTCCCCCCTCCCCCCCTCCCCGTTAACGGCACACAGCGCATGCACCACACAGCGCTCACGTCAAGAGTGGCCACGAAGCGATGGCAGCGGCGGCGGTGCTCTCAATGAGCGACACCACCTTGGGAATGTCGGCTGGCGCCAGAGCCGTCACACCCAGGCCCAGCTTGCCCTTCACCCACCCACCGCATTGCACCGCACTGCACCGTACTGCACCGTACTCCACCACATCACACTCACATCAAGGGAGGGCACCAGGGCGATGGCAGCGGCAGCAGCGCTCTCGAGCAGCGCGGGCACCTTGGGAATGTCGGCTGGCGCCAGCGCCGTCACACCCATACCCAGCTTGCGCTTCACCCACCGCACCATCTCCGCGCTGCAGCAGCGGGCAGCAACGAGGGGAGCGAGGGGAAAGCAGCAGGAGCAGGTAGAGCGGGGCACGCGAGAACGAGGGAAGTGGGAAGGTGAGGTTTTTGCAGGAAGAGTGTGAGTTGAAAGGTCAGATTTGAGAAAAGAGCACAGATAGAACTGAGTGTGCGAGGGGGTTTGCGAACGAGGCGCCTGTGAGAGCTTCAAGGCTGGCCTTTGAGGGGCCTGTGAGAGCCTCTCAAAGACTGGCCTTTCCTCATCACACGCGCGCGCAGCACACGGAGGTGCGAGATCGATTTGTTCCAGAGAGCCTACCTGGTTCGCCCGGCGCCGAACGGCTGAAATTCGCCATCAGTGGCGAAAAGGATGGTCGGGTAACCATCCACGTTGTACTTGTCGGCGAGCTCCGTTTCTTTCGTCGCGTCCACCTTCGCGAAGAGCACGCCGAGCTCTTTCAACGTCGCCGCTGCTTCGCGATACTCGGGCGCGAGGGCTCTGCAGTGACCGCACCACGGCGCGTAAAACTCCACCATCATGTGCTTGTGATCGCTGACGGCCTGCGAAAACGTCGCCGCCGTCAGTGCGACGACGTCGCCATCGTCGCCTGCCGGGATGTCGTCGTCGCCCGCGTCGTCGTCCTCGTCGTACGCGTACCGCTCGTCGTCGAATTCTTCGGCATTCGCGAAGAGGGGACGCCGGCTTGCAAAGGGCTGCGAGACTACTGTGAGAACGAGTAGCGAAAGCAGGACAACGAGATACGCTCGAACTTTGTTCATGGCGACTAGCCGCGCGCGAGCGACGCACGCCAAAGTAGCTCGTCCACACGAGCCGCGTACGGTGAACTGCTGGAGAACTGCTGAAACGACGAGGCAGAGGTGTCAATCGCTAGTCGCAGTGAGACGTTGGAGCAGATCTGGAGTCGCGGTTTCTGGTAATTCTGGGTGGGGACTGGGGAGTGAGAGATCGAGGACACACTCAAGACTCTCGAGTAATCTTCTACAATCAGTTCCTACATGTGTCACTGTTACGAGTGCAATTGAGTGAGCGAGCGAGAATTGCACTATCGAAGCAAGGGTCCAATGAGCGAAGGCATGAGCGAAGAATATATAGCGAAACTATAGTGGTAACGGTAATGAACTGTGGGTGACGCGCGACGAGCCTGGAACCGAGGTTTGGGAAAATGTCGAGGCGGAGGCCCGGAGTGCGGGTTACCCGCCGAGCCGTAAGGTCGGGGTGCGACGTGCGAAGGTGGCGGGAGGATTGTCGATGCGAGGGTTGCGAGTGGTAACGATGCTGACTGTGGTGCTACAGTGGTGTACGCGCTTGAGCAGGGGCGCGAAGTAAGGAAAAGGAATTTTCCTTACACTACCCCCCCCCTAAGGAGGCCCTCCTTACGAAAGCGCGTGTACATCCCGGAAATTTCAGCTGCGCAGGTACTCTGTGAGGACGGGGTGGTTTTCGATTCTGTCCAGGGGAACCCAGTTGTCTTCGGTGGGTGTACGGTCTCTCCAGCGGATTAGGAATTCGATCCTTCGGGCTCCTCGTGGGTCACGAACTCGGTGGCTCAGAATCTTCTCGGGTGTTATGATTGGCTCGGTCGGTGGTCGGGTCATGCTGGCGGGGCGATTGCGTGGCAGTTGGCTTGTGGATGGTACGTAGGGGCGAAGCATGGTGATGTGGAAGGATGGGCTGACGTACCAGTCAGCGGGGAGGAGGAGATGGGCGGTGATGGGTGTAATCATGTGGCTTATGCGGAATGGTCCACAGTATCGGGGGCGAAGTTTTGGGGTGATGGGCAGGCGGAGATTCTGGGTGTCAAGTAAGACTAGGTCGTTGAGCTGGTAAGTGATAGGTCGGCGGTGGCGGTCGGCGTTGCGTTTAGCGATGATGTTCGGTTTTTTAATTGCGTCTGCTGCCCGGGTCCGTGCTGCTTGTAAAATTTCGGCGAACTGTTGTGCTCGTAGCACCGGGTGGTCGGGATTCGGAGTCATGGGTACTGTCGGGTCTTGCCCGTAGTTCAGGTAAAACGGTGACTGTTGGGTCGTGGCAGAAGGTGAGTTGTTGTATGCGAACTCGATGAGTGGCAGCTGCTGTTCCCAGGTGGTTGGGTCGTCGCACGTGGCTCGAATGAGTTGTTCCATGGTCTGATTTGTCCTCTCTGTCTGTCCGTCGGTCTCGGGGTGGTACGAAGAACTGAACTGTAGTCGCGTGCCGAACTGCTGCCACAGGTTCCGCCAGAAGTTGCTGGTGAATTTTGTATCTCGCTCGCTGATGATCGCTGCTGGTATCCCGTGCACTCGAACGATGGTGGAGATGAAGAGGCGTGCTGTTTCTCCGGCTGTGATTGATTTTTTGCAAGCTGCGAAGTGTGCCATTTTTGAGAAGAAACAAGGGATGAATGAACTATGAATGAATTGGGTACAAATACTAACCCTAATTGGGTTGTACCCCTTATGGGCTACCCCACTATAGCCTACACAATGCATGAGCTATAATGTTCTGACACACCCCCATAGGCAAAGTGGGGGAGAACAAGGGGTCACAAGACCAGTCAAGTAAAGCAAAGCAAAGCAAGCTCAGGGTGGATCACAAAGTCACCACACATTCCGAGCACAAGTTCAAGGCCACAAGGCCAGTTCACATGCAGGAGTACATATATATAAAAAGGCTAGACAAGCAAGAGCAGGTATATATATATGTAACAGTACAAGCACGGTCAAGAGGTGAGCAAGTGAGGCAAGGTAGGCACAAGGCCCAGCTGAGTACAGAAGCGCTGATGGTCACAAGGCGCAAGCGCCTTGGTGAAGATATCAGCAGTGTTGGCCTCAGAGGCCACGTACGCAAGACGCAGCTGACCACGCTGCTGCAGCTCACGAGCAAGAAAGTAGCGGAGAGCAATCTGCTTCGTTCTGTGCTCCAGTCGCTGCTCCCGACACAAGGCCAGCATGGCCTTGTTGTCTACGTACAGCACTGGAGGAGAACGAGGCGGCTCTCCGAGGTCAGTCAGCAGGTAGGTGAGCCAGCGAAGCTCCTGTGCAGCCATGGCTCCTGCGTAGATCTCAGCCTCACAACTGGAGCCGAGAACAGAAGACGAGCGAGTAGCCCGCCACGAAACAGAGCCGGAACCAAGGCTGAAGGTGTAACCCTGTGACGACCGCTGCGTAGCCTGGTCGTCAGCCCAAGAAGCGTCTGCGTGCCCAGTAAGGACCACTGGACTCTGCCCTCCAAGCACAAGCCCCATGCCCGACGTACTGCACAAGTAGCGCAACACCCTCTTCGCTGCAGCCATGTGCTCCAGTCTGTGTCTCCCAGGAGCAACATAGCGTGCGAGAATGCTAAGAGGGTATGCAAGGTCAGGTCGTGTGCAGGTCATCAGGTACATGAGGCAGCCAACAAGCTCTGGGTACGGGCCACTCGACTCTACGGACTCATCCGAAGGCAGAGCTGAGAGCGAGTGGCGAGTAGGCAGAGGAGTGGCCTGAGGCGAGGAGTACGTGAAGCCGAAGCGCTGAAGGACCTGCTGCACCATGTGTGACTGAGTCAGGGTAATGGTGCGGCGTGCTCTGTCCCGAGTGATCTGCAAGCCAAGGTAGCTGCGCAGTTCACCCAGGTCAGTGCACGTGTTTCTCTTCTGCAGCTCGGACTTCACGTGGGCGAGTCCAGCAGTGTCAGCTGTGGCAAAGACCAAGTCGTCGACGTACACGAGGATGTAGAACGGCGGCAAAGAAGTGTCGGTGCGCAGAAACAGCGACGGGTCGGCAGTAGAGGGAGCAAACCCAAGAGCCGCAAGTGTAGTCCTCAGTGTGTCGTGCCACTCACGCGGTGACTGGCGGAGACCGTAGACTGGCCGCCGTAGGCTCCACTGGGTGCCAGGAGGAAAAGACCCAGTGAAACCAGGTGGGCGACGCAGCCAGATCTCCTCGTGCAGGCTGCCCTGCAAGAAAGCAGTGCTGAAGTCAAGAGAGTGTAGCTCGTAGTCACGGTGAGCAGCTACGTGCAGCAGTACCCGAAGAGTGGTCATCTTCGGGGTGGGAGAGAAGGTCTGAAAGTAGTCAACTCCCTGCCGCTGACTGAAGCCTCGAGCCACGTAACGCGCCTTGAAGACAGGCGGAGAACCCGGCGGCCGCTTCACCCTGAAAATCCACATGCCACTGACGATGTTCGCCCCAGGAGGGGGAACAGCGTCAACGTAGGTGCCTGTGGACTTCCAGGAAGCCATCTCTGCGTCCATAGCTGCCTGCCACTGAGAGGAGTAGGGACCCTCTATCGCCTCCGCGTAAGAGCGCGGAGTCGGGATGTCAAGTGCATCCGGGTCTCCCTCAGGGGTAAGCAGTACGGACACGAGATGAGGTGAAGCAGCGGCCAAGCACTGGAACTCCTCCTGCCTGTCCTCAAGGACGTCCGTGCCAAGGGCACACTCACCCCCGACGGACGGAGGACAGACAGACTCAGACTCAGCAACAAGACTGGCGACGTAGTCTAGGCGACAGCGAGCAGCAAAGTCGACGAGCTCAGCAACTAGGGCAGACGCAGCAGTGGACTCAAAGGAAGGGTCAGTGACAACAGTAGCAAGGAGACGCGTGACAGTAGGACTGGCAGCACGAAGAGAGTCCGACTCCGGGTCGGCAAGAGCAGGAAGAGAAGACTCAGGAGGAGAAGGCAAAGGGGCACGCAGAGGAGCAGTGGACGGACGCAGAGACATCCGGTGCGTGCCAGGGACAGGAGGAGGACGCTGACGCGAACCACGACCACTAGTGCGAGCAGCACGGACAGGCGACGCAGGGCGAGACGCAGGCTCACGACGCTCAGCAAGACCTCCAGTAGGACCAGTGTAGGGAGACGGAGCAGGCAGTGGGGAGGCCGGCTGTAACTGTAACTGCGACAGGAGAGGCTGTGGACACTCTAAGGGAGGAGGAGGACCAGTAGAAGACGGGAGACCAAGAACCTGCTGAAGGAGCGGAACGAAGTACGGCCGAGGCCGCGCGGCGACTCCAGACACAGTAGGGACAGCACCAGCACCCCCTGTGGCAGCACCAGCACCAGTAGCAGCTCCAGCTCCAGTACCCCCAGCAGCACCAGCAGTACCCCCAGCAGGACCGCCTCCGGGACCGACAGCAGTAGCCTCCGCGCCAACACCCGCAGCAGCTCCAGCTCCAGAAGTACCCGCAGGTCCAGCAGCTCCAGTACGCCCAGTACGAGCACCTCCGAGACCCGTGGCACCAGCTCCCTCAGCAGCAACAGAAACTCCAGTACCCTCAGCTCCTCCAGCTCCAGCAGCTCGCCTCCAGCGCCGGGCAAACCACTCACGCAGCTCCTGTGGAGAGAGTGGCTCCCGGCGAGAAGATGCACCCGGAGAACCGCCAGGCACAGCACCAGCAGGCCCAGCTCCCTCAGGCTCCGCACCCCCAGGCTCAGCACCTCCAGGCGTAGCACCCCCAGGCTCAGCACCCCCAGACGCAGCACCCCCAGGCGTAGCACCCCTAGACTCAGCACCCCCAGTCGTAGTACCCTCAGGCTCAGCACCCCCAGGCGT